ATATTTTACAGCATTTTTAATTTTCCTTTTAGCACTTGTCACTTTGTGCTTGGGAGCATAATCATCTGTGTCTTATCTCTAATGGTTTACCAGCTCCCTCTGAGCATAAACCAGGTCTTGTTCATTCATCTTATAAAATTTTATTGCAACCCAGTCTGATCTGGCAAGGCACCCCCAACAGTGCCTAGCACATGGTAGATATTCGATAAACACTTCATAGCATCATAGGAGTTATATGATATCAAACCCGAAAACCTCTTAAAGATATTCTAATCCAGAGTTTCTCAACCTTTTTGAAGAGTCTGAAAAAAGGTATGGGCTCTCTTCCCAGAAAATTCAATGTAGAAAATATTTTACATAAATATTTTACATCATGCCTAGAAGGTTAGTAAGGTTAACTAATCCAAAGTCATGAAGCTAGTAAGCGGCAGAACCAAGCCTAGAACACAAGTTTCCTGGTTCCCAATTCAGTACTCTTCCCACTACAAACAATTTTCATTGGGCTGTTTCCTGCTAGGAGACTGCCTGATACAGGCCTCAAATATGGCATGTTCCTTTCATGAAATTCCTTGATATAAGGATGATACTCAGGAGAACATGGCAAGTTGAGTGGCTTCTGAGGCCCAAAGTACAGTGGTATTGAACTTCTGTCAAGGAAAGAGAGGCCATAGGAGACGTGCATAGTTACATGGGAGTATTAAATTAAGGAAAGAACCAAAAGTGATGTTGAAGACTCGTCAGATAGAACAGCAAAATCTTAACTGTATTATTTACAGGAAGGGATAGAATCATGACCCAAAGCCAGACAGACCTCTGACTTTCAGGCCAGTGTTGTGCTCACCTCACCAGAAAATCCTCTGCACATGCATAAAAATCTAACCACTACAGACACAATCCTGCAGTTAGGGCCAGAAAAATAGTCTAAATAATCTTATAATGCTTAGAAGTAACTCCCAGTTATCTGTGGTAATGGATTAAAGGAACACATACATATTTTCAGTCTGCAAATACTGTAAAACTCAGCTACTGGCTAAAAATGTCAATCCACCTCTACTTGCTACAAACTATTTACTCAACTAAACTGAATGTATCACTTCCAATGTGAGGTCCATACTGAACTAAGTAAATACTAAGAAGATATTTTTTAAAAATATCACAAATAATAAAACCAAACCATTTGCTTTTCAGTGTGATATCCTGGCCCAAGAATAAGACTGGGAGACTACAGAAACATCTCCATTCTGGATAATATTCAAACTAAGTAACTGGAGAAGAGTGAGGGGCAACCCCCTATCCTTTCCAGCTCCAATATTCTCCAACCTATGCACATCTGATCTTTGGGTGTTAGCAAGAGCTGCACACTCTCATTTTCTTAAGGACTCCCGCCCCCTTTACCTCCTGTGCTTTAATTAGGTGCTTGTATCTTCCAATGCCATGGGTGGGCTTTGTCTTGTAGTGCCGACTGGTACTCAGTAGAATGCCACCTAAAAGAGAAAAAAATAAGACAAACCTGTTTCAGAGCTCCTCCAGGGATAGATCACATGTGAGGAGACAAATTCTCCACTGCAAGACTGGGAATATTTGGGGGTAGCAGGCTTCTTGTTGGTTTAAAAACCAGAGCCATTTTTTGATCCTGGGTTGACTCTCAGTTTACCTCTACTTTTGGCCCTTGGACTATATCCAATCTTTACTACCTATCTTTCTTCAAGAAATTCTCTCCTGCTAGAGCCACTGGTGGCTTAGAGGTACGAAATGCATTCTCACAGGGTTCTTGTTTTCTCTTGTCCCTCTACAGGCAATAATTCTTCTACTGTGGATTGTATAGAGAAAGAGACAGGTGGCAAATATAACCAAGTAAGAGGACAATCACAGATTTCCACAAAATTTCAAAAATGATCTACTTCGATTTACTTGTGTTGATACAGAACAATCTCTAACACACAGTGTTAAGTGAATAATAATAAAAACAAAAACTTAATGTACAGTGTGTATAAAATAGGATCTCCATATACATATTCATTACAGTAGGCTGAAATGTGCTACGCAGATCCCCCTTCAAGGCAGAGCTTGCTGATATATACATATTCTCCTTTAATCCTCATTATTTTTATCCTCATTTACAAATAAAGAAACTACAGCTCTAAAAATATGGTGAATTGGCCAAGGTCATCCAGCAAGTAAGAAGCAGAACTGCAGTTTAAACCCAGGTCTATCTGGCTGAACAGCCTGTGCTCAAAAGTGATATAACATCTGAATTTCTGGCATATAAAATCTAACTAGATCTGATCTTTCATAGTTCAGATCTCAGTTCCTTATCTCTACTCTTTCGCTGGAACCAGCCCTATACAGCTCTGCTATGTCTGTCTTGCTTGCTGTCCACGTTCTGCAGAAGTACTTGTCCTAGGTTCTGCTCCCTTTCCTCTCAGCTCCTATGGTTCTGCTTTCATCTCCCCAGGGCCACCACTCTGTTGGGGGGCTGAATGAAACATAGTGTGGAAAGGTCTAATGACATCAAGAGGAATGTTTCTTAAGTTTCTCTTTTCTAAAATGGGCTTCCAAAGAGGTCTGCTCTGTGCCAGGCCAATCAGAGACTGGCTTCACAGTCAATCCTGCATTTACAATCCACACTGTTTTATCCAGACAACCCTGGGACATCATGGATCCTTTACATGATATACATTAGTCCATATTTACTATTACATGCCACAACTGTATAAACACTGGGACAAAGATGACTAAAATATGCTACTTTCCCTGGAGATGGTGTATACTGGGAAGGGTGATAGGAAATCAGATAATTACCTTGTGATGTACAAAATACTATAATAGAGATGAAAGCATGGCAGTAAGTGCCCAGAGGAAGGAACAACTAATTCTGCCTTGGGGAGTGGGGGTAGGAGTGGAGAAGGGTGCAGAGGAAGAGGTTCCAAGGAGGTAAAAGCTGCATTCTTGAAAGAGAAGAGTTTACCATGCGAGGAAGAAGGAGATATTTTTGACAGAAGTTCCCAAACAGAACTGAACATAACTGAGGTGTGTTCTTGGCCACTGTCCCAATTCTATCTCTCTGGCTCTGAGACCTTTGACCCTTTCAGCCTTTGGGTTCCAACTCTGCAACCTGGGGCCTCACCCAAGGAGGTGATACCCAAATCTTCTTGATGGGTATACAATGATCCTCAGACTAGAGCCTTGCAAATTAATCTTATCCAATCAGATTTTATTATCACCTCAAAATATGACCTCCTAAAAGTGCTGAACTCTCTAGAGCATGTTCACTCATTCAACAAATATTTATTATTACCTATCAGGGTAGTCAGCAACTATTTTACCCTCACAACCACATGTATGGCACACACTAAAGCTGCATAGTATATGACCAACTCAATTGCTATAGCAGGACTGATTGGTACCATGCAATACCCTGGAAACTGAGGCTACAACAATGGAAAATGTTGCTGCAGTACAGAACCTATGTTCTAGTGGAGAGACAGTAATACCAATGCAGGGTGATAAGGGCTATATACACGAGAAGGGCACTGAAGTTTGACTTGAGGTGTTGGGAAAAGATTCTTAGAGCAGGTGGCTTTTAAGTAAAACCTGAAGGATGACTGAGTTACTGAGGAGATAACACGGTATGCAGAAGGGCCGAGCCAGAGAGGATTTTAAGGCAGAGCATGAGGAGCAGGGTGGCAAGAAATGAGTTTACAGAAACAGACAAAGCTTAGGAAGGGCTTAATTATTGAGTATTTATGATGTGCCAGGCACTGGGAATATAAAAGTGGACAGGGCCAACAAAATTCTGCTTATGGAGCTGACAATCTAGTGGGAGGAAGGAATCATTAACAGAATAGTCACAAAATAAATATAAAATTACAAATTGTGATAAATAATAAAAAGAAAAAGCACAAAGGGCTATGGCAATACAATTAGTGGATATATTTTAGATTGGAGTATCAGGGAAGGCCTCTCTGAAAAAATAGCATGTGAACCGAGACTAGAATTTAGAGGGAAATAGTAATATTGGGAAATAGTGGTTATTTCCAGGGAGGGGAAGTGGCTAGAAGGCAGGAGGAAAGGGAGACTAACTGTTTATTTTATATTCTTTCGTATCTTTTAAAACTTGTTCATGTATATATATTTTCTATTCAAAAAATATATAAAATAAACTGAGACCTGAAAGGCAAATAGGAGTTTATTAGATAAAAAGATAGAGGATGAATGTTACAAGCAGAGGAAATAGCAGGTGCAAAGGCCCCAATGTGGGACACAGCTTGGCATATGCAAGGAACAAAAAGGCTGTCAGTGTGACTGACACAAAGTGAGAGGGTCAGAGAATGCACCAGAGACTAGAGCAGTGGGTCAGAACACACAACACTGGGCTTTGTTAAGGATTTGGATTTCAGAATGAACAGCCATAAGCAGGGAAATTATATGTCTGATATCTCTTTTAAAAGATCACGTTGGTTGTTGTGTGGAAAAGGGGTGGGAAGAAAGTATGAACGGAAGGGTAAGGAGATTCAAGTGGTAGCTTTGGCTAAATTGTTGTTGGTGATCTCACTGTATCCACATCTCCCTTTCTATTCCACCTTCTAGAACTGACAAATTAATCCTTCTAAAACACAGACCTAATCATGTTATACACTTTCATTAATTTATTCATTTATTCATCACACATACACTTTTAAAAAAATACTTACTATGTGCCAGACACTGTACCAGTCACTACGAAGACACCAATGAATGAGACAGGGAAGGTCTTTGCCATGTTTCAAAATGTCTGATGGTTTCCCACTGCCCAAAGTTCATACTCCTTAGGTAAGCAATTAAGAACCCTGATTTTGTAATCTAGTTCCAACTACTTCATCTCCTCATCCTCCCACTCTTCCAGGCCTTTAAAACCTTGCTTCTCGGCCACAAATCTACATTTGCCATTCTGTATAACCCATACAGTTTTCATGCCTCTGTGCCATGCTGGGCAGTCCCCCTTGGTGAGAATGCACCTCTCTGACTGGTGAAATCCTGCACAGCCTCCAGGGTCAGCTCAAATGTCGCCATCTTTGGGAAACACTTCTGCTGCTCGAAACGTACAAAAATCACCAAGAGTTTAATTTACTTCATGGTTATAACTCTCACATGCCTCCATTATATAAAACCTTTTCTGTAAATAAAAAGGAAAACTATATGCCAGACACCACCTTTAAGTACACAGAAACTCAATAACCTACCAGTGATTTCAAACAGCAGAACCAAAAGTGATCTTTGAGATGATGACACATCTCAGGTGACTGCTGCAAATGCTTGCCTCGGCCTCTCATCTACTAGAATTCCTTGGCAAGGAGGCATTTTCAAATTTAGTTTAGGGCAATTCCTACAATTAGAGCAGCTGGTTAATTAAGAAGCTAATTCAAACTACTGTTAAATTAACCATTTTCTCCCTTAAATGAAAGGTTTTGGTCATATTACCAGTGGTTAAACTGCTTAATTAGCCAGTTGTTTTAATTATAAAATTTACAAGTTTGAAAGCCTCTGATTTCTAATAAGTTCAACTTATTTATAATTATTTCCCCCTGCTCCATGTCATTAAGCTGGTTTCCTGCTGTCACATTAACATTGCAGCCTCCTGAGAGAAAAGGCAACTCTTTTCACTGAAGAAGACACAAAACCCCAGGGTTTCAAAAGGCTTTGACAATCTTTCAGCTAGTACAATTATAGGATGCAATCACGTATTGACTTCTCCCACATTACACCCCTTCCTTTATACATGCCAGAGCCAATTGTCCTTCAATGTCCTTGTTTACTAAACTGGGTACTAAACCCATCAGTCCAGGATGGGGATAAACAACTTCACTTTAATTATTCCTCCTTCAAAATTGGAACAAGCATTTTTATCAGGGCTATGCAGGAGGGA